CACACAGTGATATGCTATCTGATTACTTTGCGTTTCGAGGGAAGACATACCCCATCGTGTATGTACTTTTTTTGAGAAACCCAAGCACAGTTATATAAAAATCCACTCAGTAGGATCATAGAGTAATTCAGGTTGAAAGGCCTTCTGGAGGTCATTTTCTCCAACCTCTTGCCAAAAGCAGTGTCAACTAGGAGATAAGACCAGGTTACTCAAGCCTTTATGCAACCTGGTTTTGAAAACATCATAGAATGGAGACTACACAACCTGTCTAGGCAACCTGTTCCATTGTTTGAAAATAGTCCTATATGTAAATGTGTCTTTTATTATTGGCAAAATAAACTTTACCCGCATTTGTTGATTTAATGAAACTTTTTCTTTAAAAACTGTAAACAACAGTAGAGTTTACATTTTAAAAGTAGGTGTTTTTCTCAAAACTTAAATAGTTGCAGCATTTAACTGGAGCTACCAGTTCCAGCTAGAATGGGATGATTTTTGTTCATAGCTCTCAAAATATGTAGCATTACATGGCAAAATAAACTTCTCCTTTGTTTAGAAAGAAGAAAAATGAACTAAGAAAGGATGATTAGACTACTGACCTCTCCATACTTTGCTGCACTCCTTTCGAGAGTCCTGAAATAAGTGAAAGCAGTTGCATTGTCTATACTGTGTCTTTACTTCAAAATTATTAACATTTAACAGTTGCTGTGCTCAACATTATTTCTGTGGAGTAAAATTATTTCTTTCTTTTCTTCCTTTTTCCATTTATTCCCACCATCCTTTCCATATATCTCTTCTGAAATTTGTCATATCTTGGGCAGCAGGATACGATGTCTTGTGTTTTGAGGCAAAACCCCCTAGTCCTGAATATTTTTCCTTTTTACTGTGTCCATCAGCATGGGCCATAATTTCATAGGCAAAGCGTTCTTTGCAGAACAGGAGTACTCCATCTCTGAGTTGGAGTACCTGTCTTTAAGGGTCTCTGTAAACAGTACGCAGCCAGCACCTTGTCATGTTATTCGAGCAATGGTAAAAGGAAGAGAAGAGTTCCAAAGATGACCCTAAACTTTATTCGTATTAAAACAGTTATATCAGTGGTAGATTACAGCATCTCTAGTGCAATGTGTTGCTGGAGACACTTTACACAGGAGGAAGATGACAAGCAAGGAGGCTCAAAGGTTTTCCTAGTTTCCCTTTAGAAGCCTACTAATTTCGCTGCTCTGTGCAACTAAGCCATGGTACAGACTGCAACACAGTTGAGCTGTGTGAAGACCTGTGATATTTCTTCTATACTTTTTGAAGGTCAGTATTGTTCCCAATCCTCTAGCATGTCATCCCTAGTTATTTGCTACATCTAGTAAGCTTTTTAAAAGCTGCTGTTCTTAAGTAGGGGAAATAGTTAGAAACACTTCCACTTTTTGTAATAGTTATAGTTACCTAAGTTCCAGGATGAGTGTGATTATGTTCAGTTACAAGATACTATGACTTCTAGAAACACAGGATATTAAATATACAGCTAAATGGCTTTAAAGAGGTTATTGGACATTTCCTAGGCATTTTAATGTCTCATAAGAACAAACTTTTGAAGCCAGAATTTATGTTGTGTGTGAACATTAAAGCGTGCTGTGGTGTTTTTTTCTGAAAGTTTATTCATCAGAAGACTTGAGAAAAATATTACTGTGTTTAATAACACTTAGGAAAAAAATCTGCTGCCTTTTTTTCCTGTAAAGCACGTGGCAAAAGTAGTCTACAGCACCTTGTTCAATATTATCAAAATATGTTTTTTCAGATTGCACTTAAATAGCCCATGGCTCAGGTGTTTGTTCCAAAAAAAGAGAAGACACCCCCTTTCACTTTTTTGGAAGGAACAGTAGTGTGAAGACATCAGACATAAGCAAGGAGAATTTGATGGGAAGGAAGACAAGCCCAACTCAGTTCCAGTGTCTCTTCTCAGATGACTCAGTCCTGGTCACCTTGACCCCTGTGGCTAAGAACCATCAAGGACCATTGCCATCAGTGCTAACTATACAGCATCAGCTCTATGATATTGTGTACTCACAGCTAATTTACCGTACAAGTGTTGAAAACTAACGCTCTTGTGTATAGAATAGTGTGTAAGAATTGACCATTACCAAAAAGAGTGTTGCTAGTGAATTAAATTGAAGTTTAAAACAGGCCTGATCTGTCAATCTTCTAAGTGTTCCTGTCAGAGCAGTGCTGATTCCCTGATGCACACATGTGCACTCAGACATACACTCTCGCATATATTCAGTTGCGCAAAAAAAAAAAAATCTGAATTGTGCAAAGCTTTGGCACTCAGACAATCCCCCTTGCATATATTCAGTTTCGCAAAAAAAAAAAAAATCTGAATTGTGCAAAGCTTCAGTTCTGTTTGTTGTTAGTTACCTAATGGAGAGCTAATACTTGCTTTACCTCTTGATTTCTTCTTGTGTACTGGGGTTTCATCACCTAAACCAACTCTAGATAAATACGCATTTTTTTGCATGAATAAAGAATCTGCACAGTTGAGAGGATATTTGTTTTAATTTTAGTGTCCTGCGATCTGCTGCCACTTTCTGGAACAACTGGCACTCTCTTCTGTGGAGACTGAGCAGATCTCTGGAGTAGAGTTTTCTAGTAGTGAGTTAGCAGATGAAGACGGGCAAGAGGTTTTGGTTTTCTTTTTACACCCTAGATAAGTTTTGCAAGTATGAATTCTTTTGCATTAATAAATTGTGAATAGTACAATAATCAGCATTCAGTTTTGTGTAAAGATCTATACGTATGCATTGTGAGTTTAATTTTATAACTATTCTGTGGCTGTTTGATAACTGAAGCTATCTGGGGTGTGCAAGAGAAACCTGTGCAGTGTACTTTGTGGTCGGTTGTAATTGTATTCCAAGCAAGTTCATATTCTCATACAAATTAGTGGAAAAACATACTTCTGTGGCTTATATATTATTTTAAAACTGGCAATTTGTCAGGTGATTTTTCTTGAAATTTCCATGCTTATTAAATTTCAGGTTATATATTTTGAGTAAGCTGGAAACTTAAACTTGTTACCATAAGTATGGCTGCAGGTAAACAACCAATTTTTGTCCAGAAAATAGCTTTTGCTTCTGTCAACATGTTGTTTATTTTCTCCCCGAGATAAAAGTTCAGTTTTCTGATATTTGTACCAAGATAAAGTCTGTAAACAAGATTAATATAGTGTGGAAAAGATTGTCAGCAGCCCTGGCAAAGGAAATAAGTTGCCTGTACACAGAACATACTGTAAACTGAATAAAAGTGTCAGGTCCACCATGAGATAATGTGATCATGAACCTCTAACAAAGCATGACATAGGCACAGTCGGCTTTTCTTATAGCCACAGTGTAGAAAATGGATTACTGTATTCCAGGGATACCCACTGGAATAGCATGAAAACCTCATTTTGAGATTAATGCAGGATGTAACTCTCGAGAGCTGAGCTACGTGTTTACCTATAGTGTTAAAGTAACAGTTTAGTTATTAATCTTAAAATTTGGAAATTACATATTAAAATACTTGTTCATATTTCTAGGTCTGTCTTTGTGAATTGACATTCCTTGCTCTTATTATTACGTGAACTATGACATTGCAAAAGTTACGTTGGGTCACTATTTTATTATTACCATGTGGCTATGTAAGGCCTCAGTGAGTCTAGTAAAACAATAAATTCCAGATGCGGGTAAAGCAGTAGGTGCTGTCCTCCCATGTACCTACCATGATTTGCTCTACTAGGGATTTGTATGTTTGCATACATTGTTCTGCAGTAATGTATTACCAGTTCTTTTCAATTACCACGAGCCAGAAAAGTGACAAAACTTCAGGGTTTCTCATTTCAGCCCTGAGTGGTGTCATTCTTCAGGTCAAAGAAACAGATTTTGGTCAAATACTTAAACTGCATGGAGCTTTCAAATTATTTGGTGACTCTTCTTTGAAAGTTTTCCAGACTTGGAGCTCCAACTGCCCTGGCTTTTCTCCATCATGAGACCAGATGAACAGAGATATTTTTCTTTAGAAGTTGAGCACATTGATCTTCTAATAATGACTAAGCTGCTTTTATCTGTGAATCTTCCGCTTATGTACTTCTGGCAAGCGTCAGATGTACAAATGTAATGTCACTGAGTTTTTGTGGTCTCCTTCCAAAACTGGCAGAACATCTGATTTCATTCTCACCTCTGCTTATCTACTGACTATAAAACTGTCTATAAGGAACTGAAAACTTGTTCCTGCATTCTTTCCAACAGGAATAGTTTGCCTTCTGCTCTGGTTCTTCAAGCATGAGTTTCATCAGGTGGTTTCTTATTCTTCAGCATTTAGCGGTCTACACGTGCAGATTCTAAAAATAAAAATAAAGCTGTTTAAATGCATTCTTGAGCAATACCAGAATATCATAATGTGCAAAAGTCTGCACGTGCTATCATGCATTCTTAAGATCATTCTTAAATTGAATGTATTATGTATTTTTGGTTTCAGTATATATAAAGCACTAGTCAAGGACTACAGTGCAGTGTGGTAAAAATTATTTTATCTTTACTTTCTATCCCACATCAACTGAATTTCAAAAGCTTTGCGTTGAGATACAAAGGTTGGGAGGGGTTTTTAATAAATTTATTGCTGCATTAGCCATAAATAAGGATAGTATGCAGAATGTGAGTTTCAAAACATCTTTCATTTTTTGGAGATAAAATGCTTAATGGACTTTTCAAAAGTAACTTAGGGTCCTGACATCTGTAAATGTCTGACGTCTGACATCAGTCAGAATGACGCATAAAGGATATTGGTAAATATTGTATAGCACTTTCTGCACTCTGACTTTACTTAAAAATTACAGATACAGGTAATTGCAGTTAGTGTATCTAGTGTACTGTCTCTATCTTGTATTTAGCATTTGTGATGTGGTTTCTGAATAACAAATCAGTGTGTCTGTATGCTGCCCCATTATTTAAAGACTTTTTTTTCCTACTTTTTTCCATTAGATAACTCCAGGACCAGGTGTTAGCAGGAAAACGGTTCACTTGTCCCAGGATTCTCTTCACCATGAGTGAGTACAAGTGATGGCAGTTATAACTTTTTATTGTTGTTTGCTTTACAGCAGTACGTCTGTCCCAAAGGCACATTTTGCAATTGTACAAATATATGATAAGAGAACCTCAGCTCAGTCACAAAATTATCTTTATTTAATAATAATATTTATAATCCTTTTAATAATAACATTTATAATCCTTTGTAATTCATTTTATGTTTCTTAATGAAATGTGACATTCGGCGCTTTGTAAATGTGTTTTTATTAACTTGCTAAGTGTATGCTTTCCTAAAACAGAACGCTTTTTAAGGCTAGATACCAAATACAGATTGTTTAAAAAGACCTGTTTTATTTTTCTCCAAAGGCAAATTCAGAAATGCCAACCTTGAATATATGAAAATAAACAAGCATCACATCTTTGAGTCTTAAACATGATGTATCATGTGAGAAAGAAAGTTATCATAAATTCCGCAAAGAGACATTGAATTAATGTTTAGATTCATGCAAATAGGGAATGTCATTCAGTTCGTTTAGTGACTCTAGTGTGCCATTACTGTAAACTCTTATTCAGTTCAGCTGACACCATTTAGCAGTGTTAGTTCTTGATTATGTCTTTTGAACAGTTACAATAAGAAGATTAAATTTTCCTATATTTCTCAGATCAGAATTCTAAAACAGACACAAACACGGTTAGGAACTGATATATTTGGGTATACATTTATATGTTCTAACTGCTACTAGATATGGCATCCGCAGTTAAAAACAAAACCTACCAAAGCACATGTACTAGATACATCAGATCCTCAATACCAACTGTTTTATGCTGCTAATCCGCTTCTGTTGCATCCCATAACTTGTGTGTTAAATAAAGAGGTTGTGATTTCATACATTATTTCTACCCTAAAGTAATTCAACTAGTATTTTGTGGGTTTTACTGTTCTTATTTTATTAAAACAAACAAGCAAACAAATAATACTGTAGTTAAGTGAATAGACAAAATCATAAAAATCAGTGTGATGTGAATATCATGTTCTCATTACAAGAGGTCTTATTCTGTAGAAAGGATTTTTGATGTCAAAATGTGAGATGCATTCAAAATACTTTGAATTTTTTTTTTCAATAGAAATGCATTTTACTAATAATTTAGTCTGTAATCCACTGATTTGGCACAAACCAGCAGAGTTTATGTGGAGGAGGATACCCCAGTTCACTGTTGCTCCTTGAGCGTTTGCTGTTGACACTGATCAGAGACAAGACGCTCATCTATCTGGAACCGAGATCTAACTCGTTATATTTCTTATAATATCTTCATCAGCTTCTGGATATTTGTGACCTTATTTGTTGCGTTACTCACAAATGTGATGGTTTTTCTTTTCATCCACTGCCAACATTCAAGTTGCACGTGCGTGAAATCTCCCGGTTTTCCTCAGATTTTGAACTATTTGATGCAGTTGATGAACGTTTCATGTCCAAAATGTATAAATGTCTACTAATTTTTATCTCAAGGTATATTTTTAACTTTATTGCTGTCATTCTCTTTTCATTTCCAACTTCTTTTCCTTAATCATGTTGGAAGTAGAAAAAGGAGTTAGCGGTATGCAGGTTTTGGTGACAACTGGTCTTGTATACAAGAATGAGAAGGTTGACTGCTCATCAGCGAGCTCACAAAAAATGACTGAGAAAAAGCCACAAAACTTTAAGATATGTGACTTAAGAGTAATTTAGACCAGACAATCCCATGGAATCTGCTGCTTCTTAGTATATTAAAGTAAAAACTTTAGTGTCATCGTGTGGCTGCTGTGGGGGAAAAATGAGAGTAAACTGTGTTGAATTTAACCACTTCAGAAAAAGCGTGACTGGGTTAAGCTTATAATCTTTGGTTACACTTCTAGAGGAACTTAAAGCACAGTAGCAGGTCATGTGATGGTCTTTTTGTGCAATATGATAATGGATGGAATTATTTTATCCTTTGCCCAAAACTTATTGCTTGCTTACATGAGTAATATGTAGGTACTATATGTAATTTCAGATCCCCCTTGTTACAATTGTTTTTTCGTTCTTCTTTTCATTTTGCAAGCATGAAGCTTTGCTGCAGGCTTGTATAATGCTTACTATAGTTACATTCAAATGTTAATTCAGTTCCATGTGATCACAGTGTTTATGTGAACCAGTATTAATATGTTTATACTACCATGGAGGAAAAAGTTCATTGTGAGTTCTTATCCCTGCATGTCAACGTCTTAGTCCAAACCTTCATCTCTATGAAATAAGGCTGCCAATAGCCAAAATTGTGCAGTTCTATAGAGATATGAAGCAACTGAATTTATGGACTTCGAATTTCACTTTAGATTCCAACTCAGGTCTCAGTTTGTTAAGAATACATTGACAACTACCAGGTAGTCCACAATACTTAAAAATCTTTTCAGCTGTAATCATTAATAAGTAACACTTCAGTACTAAATATGTAATTACTTTTATTTATAGCACATGCATTACAGTATACTAAAATACTATCATTTATATATTATTTTAGCTTGTTTGACAAAATATAGTTACCTATAAAGCGAATAGCTACTCTAGAGTGAAATCTGTGGTGCATTCTTTGAAAACTGCTACAGACTTAGAGTTCAATAAAAATAACCCATTATGATAAAGCATAGCTGAAGGCTGTGTTTTCCTGGCAGACAATGAGGTACCCAAAAGCACGCACAGACTGGTCATATGACAGCATGTGCTTTCTTAGTTATATTGTTAAACCTGTCTTTTCTTTTTCTCCCACAGCCACTGGTTTAGCCCTGGGGCTAGGAAGGAACATAGCCAGGTAAGAACTGCTTTGATCAAGAACAGTTTACCTGAGATGTGTAAAGGAATTTAACTACCTCTACTCCAGAGGGCGTGGGCTAATATGTTAAGACATTATAAACAAAGCAGGTATGATTTCATATTTTCTTGTAAGGAAACATATTAACAGCAGTACATTTCAGAAAGTCCCTTAATTAAAAATCTTTAATTAGTCATTTAATTTCAGTTACGTATCTTTGAGTTTTAACAGGTTAAATGAAAAGTCGGATTTTTTTTTTGTTACGGTTTTGTTAATCATAGTATCTCCAAATACTGCATTTCTCAAAATGCTGGAAAGCAAAACATTTGACTCACAGCATCAAGAAATACAGAACACTGACAAGAGTGGGCAGACTTCTACAGGAAGATCTTCAATTCCATTTTTTCTGCATTTCATTGGTTAAAACTACAGCAGTAAAAGGACTGTTAAATCTCCATCATGGTTGCAGATATTGGTGAAAATATCTCAGTAGTTTGTCTGCTGAGCCCCTACATTGTAGTCCCTAGGAGGCTCAAGCCTAGAGACTGTGGTTGAGGGAATGCGAAGACAAGTTTAATATTTGATTAGCAACATGGCGCTTATTTCTTTAGCTTGTCTTCACACATGGAGGAAAACCTTTCTTTATGAATGCTAGTAAGGTCCAATACATAACATACTGTCCAAGAACTATAAAATGTGACAATAAGTCTGGTTTAATTTCATAAATGTATAGTTAACTTCAACTATGCAGTAAAAGTAGCTGAAGATATCATCAATGCATTGAAATGTAAGACTCAAGTTCTATAGTACATTTTTTTAAGTTGGCAAAAATTGATAGGACGCAGTTGATTTCATTAGATCTGTGCCAGTTTGCTAATACATTTACAAATTTAAATAGATTTGAAACTTTGAAAGGAAATACGATCTATAGAGTCTTTGGAAGGTTCGTCTTAGGATGATCCATCATGAACAATTGTAGCTCCAGTAAGTGGTTGTTTAAATCAGCGTATACTCTGTCCTGTCCAATCCCCCTTCTTTTGAACTCCAGAGCAAGCTGGAGTTTACTTGCCCAAAACCGTGAGAGTGGGTAAAACATAGTACAGTTTTAGCTCTAAATTGTGAACTTCCAACATGTTATACTAAGCTGACTGACACTTAACATCTAAATAGATGGCTTTATATGATTTGCATTTAACCCTCAATATTCTGAGACACATTTCCCAGTAGAAGAAACATATTAAAAAGAACATTTTAAATATAAGCATGTTTCATCTTAGTAAAAAAGTTCTCTTGGGCTAATCTTTATCCTATTCCTGAAGTGTTGATGCTATAAGTAGTCAAATTTGCTAGGTTAGAATGAGTTTGGGTGTTTGTTTTGTTTTTTTTTAAATTGGATTTTTAAATGTATTGATTGTCTCACATGGAGTAATTAACTGAAGATGTACTGTTTATTTCTTTAAAAGATTCTAAGCTTAAAACAGTATAGAAATTCCCATGCTGAGAAATACCTTAACCTACATCATACAAACTGATAGTATCCATTCAGCACAGAGCGTGAGAAATGTATGCTTGCTTGGCTGGTGTATAATGACAAATTCATTTTTCTCAGATAATAGTAAATTCGAATTAATTCTGAATTTTACGTGTTTATTTCATATTTCCCATGAGTTGTATTTTCAGAGCTTATCTGAAGTTCACTGTATTTGTAACTTGCAGATTACTAATGAATTGTGAAATAAGGCTCATGTCATCAAATAATCTAGGTGCTACTGGCGCATGAAGGGTTCTTTTTTTTAACCAAGTAAAAGAAGTGAGAATGATGGTGCAAAGTAATTATGATGACTTTGATGGCCTACGTATTTCTCACTAAATTCGTGAAGATCCAGAGTGTGTAACTATTGGTTGCATGGGTTTACGACTTTCTCTTTTGATTAATTTCTGGAGTTGAAGTTACTATGTTAGAACACAAGTAATAAACTAGCCAGATTTAGTCTGGCAGGTGATCTGTATTTGTACATGCTGTAACTGCATTTTACTTATCAGCCAGAGAATATTGATAACAGTGAGACTGTTCTCCTTAGCTTGATCATGAAATAGATACACACTGTATGAATGTCATGCTGGTGATACACACTGTATGAATGTCATGCTGGTAAAAATTATGCCTACATTTAAATATGATTTGTAAGTGCTCTGATTCATTCATTTTAGAAAATGGAAAAACTATTTTGCAAAAATGTATCAGAATAAGGTGCCTTACCTTTATGTATCCTTCAGATTGCCTTTTAAAGCCAGACTGCATTATTTTACTGCATCTCAGAACTAGATAGATGAAATGATGAGGAATATTCCTTATACAAGAAGCAAGCCATAGAGAGTTGGGGATGAATTAATCAAGTGTAATTTTATAGATAGGTGTCAATTTTTGGAGTCCATGCTCATGTACAGCATTAAAGGGTGGTTGGCCAGGTCATAAAGGTCATAATTTCCTAATTGTCAGTGGACTTTTAAATGTGTTTGCTGTGAATATTACATCCATTTACCTGTAGGTTGTTTTTAAACAGTCTTTCGTTCTATACTTTCTTCAATATATGATTAGTTTCAAGAAACATTTGTATTTTTTATATTGTCTAGTTTTCATTTCTTTAGTGTAACTTTTTGACAGTCGTTTTTTGCTGTTGTTGCGGCTTTACTCATCCTGACAAATATCCTAATGCTGGAAATAGACTTCTGAGTATTGGAGGTAGTCTGAATGAAAGATCTTCCTTTATTTGTCTAAAAATAGATATAGGAAATCAGAGCTTGTTCCAGAAGCTGAGTCACCATTTCACTTAAATGAATCCTTCATTATCCGTACTTCCCTGCTATTATGGGAAGCTTTAATACTGTGTTTTTGTTGATTCTGCAACTTAAAAATTACAAAAGCTCCTGGGGTTTAGACGACTTTATAACTGTTTCATAACTGCTTAGATTCGAGTGCCAACCTGAGCAGTTTTTTCCTAAATTAAGTGTTCTCCAACATTTTTTGTTACACTGTTTTGAAAATTTAAATTGTAATTGTGAAAATTGTAAAATTTTATGGATAAGTTAATTGTGAATTGCATGACTTTCTAATAGGCTTTGAGAATGCCTTAATTTTTACATTTTCAGTTATTTAGCAATTTTAAATTGATGGATGTACCCTGAAATATTAGCTATTACTGTAAAATTCTATTAGATGTCCATCGCTTTTAGAGTCTTGGGTGAAAACTATTGAAAGATTACTCAAGACAGGGAATAATGTCATTATCAGGATAACATTTCTAAAAAGCAAATAAAGGTATTGCTTGTGAGACTGTTCTGAACATTTTTTTTTAATAGCTTCAACTCTTGCGAGACAACCGATCGGAAAGAGGGCACAAGAAAAACAGCTCTGTAAAAACAGCTAGCAGGTAAGTTAATGCTGAATTTGTGAACTTCTTAACTCTCAAATTTTAATATAAGAAATGATACCATTCTTTTGGGGTATTATCAGAGGTCTTCTGGTTTTTTGTGATTTACTTCCAATAATATCTTTTATATGGTATTATCTTTGCCTAAAATATGGGTATTAGACTTTATTGGTGACCGTACCCAACTACACTTACTAAACTTAATCTCTTTAGTAAACATCAGAATTAAAGGTGTGCCAAAGTAAGGTTTATGCTTCTGGCATGTAAGTTAAGTGCTGAAAATGTATTAAATTGCCATTATGCATACATGCTTTTGAAATCAAGAAGATAAATACTGTAACACTTAAACTGTTCTTATATTTTGACAATAAAAATTTCATTGTGAAGACTTACTAAAAATGAATCTAGTTTCTCCTCCAGCTTCTTTCCTGCCCTTCAAAAGACAAAAAATCCAACACTGAACTGATGGGCACTGGTTTAGGAGTTTGTTCCTAGAGGGTTTTTTATGTACATTTTACCTGCTGAATCTATTCTGCCAAATAATTATTTTAATTCTAGTATTTTTTAAAATGAGAAACTATAGAAATGTTTCCATTGCTATGTGCACAACACATTTACACAATTTTTATGTTGTTCTGTAAAGATGACAATGTACTATCAAATTACTTTTTTCAAAAAGTTATCATAGATTTATACCGTCATGTAGTACTATGGTTTTGAGTAAGACAATTGTCTTTCAGTAGGTCTTTAGTATATATGTGGTCATCCTGAAAAAGGTATCTAAGGTTGTTAAATACTTTAATATTGTTAAATGCTTACTTTGATGAATACTTAGAAAGGGAGACCAATACTTCTTTCTAAAAATATGCATATTAACTATGAATCTATTTCATTGTGTACAAGTTGTGGTTACATGCTCTGAAACATCGGTTATGCAAGTGTTGGTCATTCATCTTCAGAAATTGTGGTCATCTTTGTCTATAAAACCTTTTATATTAAAGCCAAAAAACTTTTGAAATTTTCTGCGTTTGTTTTCTGGAAAATGCACTTGTTAAATCATATTTTTACTCAGAATTTTAGAATGGGTTCACTTTAGGTATGAATTTTCACTATAAATGCACTCTTACTATCAGGCTGCGTACATGAAACAGAGTATAAAGTGAGCAGTAAAAAACAGATTATATTTAAAGTCATTTTAGGATCTTTTTTATGCGGTAGCAATGTAAAGCGTTGTCTGAGGAATTCGGGATCATAACTTACTTTTTTTTATTTGGACCAGTGAAGTTCTTGTGAAGTGATTGCTACCTACACAAGCAGGTGGAATAGAGATTTTTAAAATAGTGTTAAATACCTAAAGTGATCTTCAGCCTCTCATCGTGTCCAATCAGCAGTACGTTAGTAGACTGTTGTCGCAATAAACATCTGGCAGGGTTGTGTGGAAGCAATAGGTGGTAAATCCAAGACAGAAGACTGACATTTTCTGTAAAATATAAGTAATATTAAAGTAAGACTTACATAAACCATTATTATGATATACATAAAGCCACAGTATATTATCATAGTATAATACACTTAGAAACAGCAGTGTCACCTCCTAACATCTCCTGGTACCACCATCTTTATTTTCAAAGGCTTTTTCCTCCAGATGGAGTTAGGTTATTTCAAAATAGTTATTTGTGCATTTTCAGAAAACTGTTTTCTTTGCCTTTACTGTTAGATCTTTAAAGTGACTTGAAGAGAAGTTCTCAAACTTCTGTGAAAATGATATTTCTAACAGGCCATCTGCTGTCTTAGAATCAAGTCATATACATCTTATTTACAAGACATATATTGAACAAATTTGAACATTCTTGCTACAGTTTAGCTGCTGAAAATAAGAACTTGATTGGCACCACGTGCAAACATTTTTTTCTCTCAGGCCAATAGCATGTCTGGTGACTATGTTCTTCTTATAGTTTGAGTGTTCTGTAACCTAGTATTTTGCTTTTTATCGAAAGCTGTTACAACCAAAATCAAGATTGATTTTCAGATATATAGGAAACGTTCGTCTCCTCGTATGTTCGTAGTACCTGTCCTCATTTGATTCAAGACAATTCCTCTGGTATTCTGTTCCTTACAAATAAAATTCATGGTGCGTAGTGACATATATCTGATTTATCTGTGGTTAATATTGAAGGTTGATTTTGTTATGACTTAATTTTAACTTATCATGTCTACCAAAAGGGTTAATCTTGTTTTCACTAGGCAATACAGAAAAGGAGAATGTTTCTGCTTAACAAGGTACCTATAGAAATTACTGGTTTAGTAGCAAATATTGTTCACAGAATTAATAGTGAACATCACCTTAGTTGCAAATGTGTGTCTTCATTATTGTACATGAAATCTTGAAATGGAAATCTGTCATTTAGATTTTTGCGTGTGCCCAAATACTGTAAAAACCACTAAACTACAATGATACCAATCGAATGTTACAAGGTTAAGTTACAGAATTAAGTAACGTTGTAGTAAATCTTTCATTATTTGTGTACTACATGCATATGCACTTAAATCTTTTGTTGAATGCAAGTGTTTACTCACACCTGAAAGTCTGAAGCTTTCTAAAATTGACTTTAAATTAGCTCTTGCCTGGGTTAAACTATTACAGTTGATACACTAAGGCAATTCAGATGAGTAACCCCCTTAAAAAGAAGCATACAAGAGGTAACAGTTGTGACCTTATAGTGTCTTCTTGTTTTTTACTAAATGCGGTGATACAACAGCAACAGTTGGTGAGTATTGGACATTCTATAAAATTATTGTACTTACCCAGAACACAGTTTAATCTGCTTTTATTGCAAGACTGAATTTCTCTGGGTCTGTCTTTGTATAGTTTTCACACAACTATATTTCTTATTTTCTTTTTTGTTTGCGGTTCTGGAAGACCTTTTTTCTGTTTTTCATATGTATATGAGATATGTGTATACTCACATTTTTCTATGCTTCCCTTGACTTTTCTTACTTCTTTTGGATGACTGAACACACTTCTTGTGTCAGCATGTAGACAATATGTAAATACTCATATGACATTAGGTCAGTGACTTATCGAATAATTTACTCTTTAAATACATCAGAAAGGTGTGGAGCTCTAAGCATGGCAATGGTCTGCAGCTCTGTCTTTGTGGTGGAATAATGCTGATGCTTTCTGAGTGAGCTTTGCTGTACTGGGTTGGTTGTATTAGGCTGCTTCTGTCAAAATTAGTACCAATGAGCCAATCCTATATAAACTAACACAAACTTGTACGAGTGGCAAGATAATTAGATTGTTGAGAACTGTTGATATGGCTACTGATGAACCAAATATTAAGGAAGGGGACAGTCCTGCACCACAAAACTTAGAATCTGGATAGATTATATTACACTGATACAGTTCAACACATGTGATCTTTGTGTTGTGTATTTGACACATTCAAGTATATATATCTATGCTACCTTTACAGATAAGCTTTAATCTACAAATATATAGTTTTGTCATTATTATTTAAATCATGTAAACGGTACTAAATAATACTGGTTTAGAAGCTGCATTTATTTCTCCCGTATAGCCTTGAAAAAGTTCTCTGTTTACATTCTCTCTCTGCATTAGGACAGGAACAGTCCCCTCCCCAATCCAGCTACACGGCTTGAAGGTGTTAATTCTTCCAGCTGCTTGTTTTCACCCTCTACTCTTTTGCCAGTAAGGAAGTTTTTTTGTCTGCATCTTTTGATACACTTTGTGCAAAACCAGCCTGGTTAGTTCAACTCACCTATTTAAATTAAATTGGCTGGGTTTGTACAAACCATATTAGGGAGTGCTCACATGATTTCTTCCTCCAGCAGAGCTGTGGAGATGATAATCTCCAGCAGATGTGTGATAACAAATAGCTTGGGATAGTAATGTCTTCATCTGGCGCAGTTGTTAGCAGACCAAATGTCTGTCTGTAGCCCGAGGCTGTGGGCAAACAATTGAACATCATTGAGTTATGGCGATGTTAACAAGTTGCTGCTTGGCAGCTGAACTGCCATAGCTGATCATGTGCCCACTGTTTGCCTGCTCTCATCATGAGATAAAACACATTTTCTTAACTCACCTTTGTAAAATTTTATAAAAATGAGTTCTACCCAAAGAAGATTCCCTAGGGCTAGGAGATTCATTTGGTCAGCTGTGGAGACAGCACTGAATGATATTTTGCTGAGCTGCTATAATGTGATTTTGAGCATGTGTTAAATATATGGATGGCTTCCATCACACAATTGTCTGCTTGTCTCTTAATATTTAATGTATTTATGCTCACAATACCCTATGAAGCTAGCAAGTACTTTTATCCTTATTTGACAGAAAAACCAGAATGCTTAAGCAATGTAATATTTTGCCTTTGGTCATACAGTCAATGCCATAACTAGTTAATTTATGCTGTAATCTAGAAACAAAACAACAGAATTGCAGATTGGGAAAACAGCAGACTACTAAGTAAGTTAAACTTGTATAATTTTCCTGCACTATACATAATGGTCTTGTGTCGTTTTTTTTTTTACAGTGTGCTTCTGTTAAGTATCAGTAATTATTTTATCTACATACTTATTTTTCCTTATTATACTGCAAGTGGAATTAGACACATGCATGAAATGAGAAACTGATAAGAAAACAGTGCCAGAACTCTTGCCATCTACCAATTTTTTTGGTCATATCTTGATAATTGCATGTTGGCTTTCCACACTCAAATGTTGGAGCGGGTCCAGAGGAGGGCCCCAAAAGTTATCAGAGGGCTGGAACACCTCTCCTGTGAGGAAAAGCCGAGAGGGTTGGGGTTGTTGATCCTGGAGAAGAGAAGGCTTCAGGGAGACGTTATTGCAGCCTTTCAGTACTTAAAGGGATCTTATAAGAAAGATCAGGATAAACTTTTTAGCAGTGTCTGTAGTGACAGGACAATGGGTAATGGTTTTAAACTAAAAGAGGGTAGATATAGACTGGATATAAGGAAGTA